GTCTATATGGTGAGCTCCAGGCCAGCCTGGTCTATATGGTGAGCTCCAGGCCAGCCTGGTCTACATAATGAGACTCTGTCTCAAAAAACAAAAACAACAACAAAACAATAAAACTAGTAATAATAGCAATAAAGCTTGATTTAAAAATCAGGCTTTATGATTTAGAGCAGTTTTAAGTTTGTTAAATGCACAAAAAGTACAAATATCAAACTGCCTCCTTCACTCTAACACCCAGAACACTCCTCTCAGTCCACGAGCCAACACTGACTGTCATCCAGCCCACAGTTTATACTAGGGTACACACTCAGTGGACACGTCATGGTTCCAGCACGTGCATACTGAGGTATATCTACCATTATAGTATTCTACAGGGTGGTTTTGCTAACCTAAAATCTGTATTCTGCCCTCTCCTCCCTTCCTCCCTATATACATGAAACGTACATAATGATTTTCTTGTGAAATGTACATGGGTCCCAAAGAAGGTATGATCTATTTTTCAGGGTCCACAGTGGTATGTCAATCAATACTCTCTTGTTCAAACTATTTGTGTTTTTCATATCCATATGTCTTCTTGTTTACCCTGAACCAGAGCAAAGACTCTCCAGCCTCCTGCCAGGAAGGGACTCGTGTTTTTGTCTGTTCCTCCTGGTATTCCCTCAGCATCATGAACATCGCTTTCTTACCACAGATACTGAGCACGTATGTCAAATACATCCTTTAGCTTTATGAAGGAATCTAGCTTTAATACCTTTTAGCATGAATACAAATACTGTCCTATTGAGATCAAGATCCCTATACTCTTCAAAGAAGACATCACTATGTAAGTTCCATGTATATAAGGAAGGAGGAGAGGAGGGAGGGATAAGAGGGAAGATTTGAGGTTAGGACTACCCTGTAGAATACTATTCATATATCATGTGTATGTGTTAGTATATATAAAATGTGCAAGCACATGAGTGTGTGTGTGTATGTGTGTGCCAGCGATCCCCCTGAGAGAAAAGCTATCTACCTTCTCTTGTAAGACAGTGTTTCTCAATTGCCCAATACAGCTAGGCTGCCTGGTGGTGAGCCCAGGAGTCCACTTGTCTCCGCCTCCCCAGCACTGAGATCATAAGTGCAGGCCATCGTGACCAGCTTTGTTATCTGGTTTTATAACTTGTATTCTACTAGTGTTCATTCTTTTTGTGTAGTTATTATTTTTTCTAGAACTTTTTGATTTCCATTTCAATATACTTCTGGTTCTACCTTTGTAATTTTAAATAATTTTTATTTAATGACATTAGTACTCAATTTATTCATCAACTGCTAGCTGTACAAATGAAGTTAGCTCATATAATCTTTCTAAATGTATTTGTATGTACATGGATGTTTTCCTTGCACATATGTCTGTGTACCGTGTATGTACAGTACCCATAGGGACCAGAGAGCAGTGTCAGAGCCACTGGAATTAGGTTAGAAGTGGTTGTGAGAGCCTGGGTCTTCTGCAAACATAGCAATGCTCTTAACTGCTGAGCCATCTCTCCCGCCCGGGCTCGCATAATCTTACTGCTGCTCTTGTGATCCTGGTTAAGTCAATAGTATTATCTCTCAGTATTTACCTTTGTGCTGCTAAATATGCTTCCATTTCTACTGATGCATTTGTCAGCTTTGAAGATGTCCTCTGACTCTAAGTCATCACAGACACAGAAACGTACAAACTCTCACACCCACTTTCCCCTTGTCTGCGTGTACGAGCACACATCGCTGCCTTGCGGAATCCTTCCAGTGAAATCATTCTCAGCCTCTGCGGCACTGCAGAACCGCTCTTAGTGCTCTGTGGCTGCACCTTGCACTCAGTGTCCTAGGTGCCCTTCAGAGGAGCAAGTTCCCTTCATTTGTCTCTATAGAAGGGCTTAAGACTTGAGTTGTATGCATTCAAATTGTTTCTATTTGAAGATTTTATAAATGATAAAATTAAGGTACAGAAAGTTAGATAATTTGTACAAGCTGGCAAGAAACAGCCAAGCGTGAATTCAGAAGTTTAACTCCAAAATTAAACGGCCTATAAGTTTGGGTATTCAGTTTTTCTATCATCATCATTCATATATATATATCTGTGTGGTTAGACTGTCAACCTTAGCATGCCAGAGGAAGTAGGACAATCAAGAGTTCATGGATATCCTCTACTTCAGCTACTTCCTGGCCAGACTAGGTCCACAGAACCATTTCAAATCAACAACAATAAAAAATGTTAGAAAAAAAAATACTGCTGGGCAGTGGTGGCGCACGCCTTTAATCCCAGCACTTAGGAGGCAGAGGCAGGCAGATTTCTGAGTTCGAGGCCAGCCTGGTCTACAGAGTGAGTTCCAGGACAGCCAGGGCTATACAGAGAAACCATGTCTCGAAAAACAAAACAAAACAAAACAAAAAAAAAAAAAAAAAAAAAAAAACTAATACAGGGCTGGTAAGATGGCTCAGTGGATAGCGGTTCAGGTGGCAAATCCAGCAGCCTGCGTTTGACCTGTGACACACAGGGTAGAATTGATTCCAAAGCTGTCCTCAGACTCTACCTGCACATGGACCACACCTGCACTCACATGGACACATAAAGAAAGTAAGCACTTTAATTTAAAAATAACTTAGAAATAAAAATATTATTATTTTTATTAATAGTAATTAATGAAACAATTTCACGGTGATGCACCTACATCCAAGCACCCTGAAACTAAGAGACAAGAAGCTCATTTTAGAAGTCAGGCACGATGGTGCCCTCTTGTCAGGTCAGTGCTACAGTGGAGAGGAGGAGGAGGAGTTCAAGGTCATCTTCCACTACAGAGCAAGTGTGAAGCCAGTTCAGCTACATGAGACCCTGTCTCAAAGCGAAAAGAAACTCGTTCTAGAAAGTGCTGTAGGCAAGCTGGGTACAGTGCTACACATGCCTGTGAGTTCCAGGCTGGCCTAGCGATAAAAGGCCTTTTTTAAAAACCTGGAAGAACAAACAGCCTGGTCTATAAAGCGAGTTCCAGGACAACTAGAGCTACACAGTGAGACCCAGAATCAAACAAAACAACCGGGAGAAAACACAAGCAAAGGCATGCTAGGTAAGGTAGGAGTGCACTTGTATTCATGGGTGAACTGTGGTCAACGACCCGTCCCCCTGGTTCTGAAACCAAGCTCTGGGGCTGGAGAGATGGCTCAGCAGTTAAGAGCACTGACTGCTCTTCAGAGGTCCTGAGTTCAATTCCCAGCAACCACATGGTGGCTCACAACTATCTGTAATGGGATCTGATGCCCTCTTCTGGTGTGTCTGAAGATAGCTACAGGGTACTTACATATATAAAATAAATAAATCTTTAGAGAGAGAGAGAGAGAGAGAGAGAGAGAGAGAGAGAGGGAGAGCGCAAGCTGGCTCTGCTACTATTAAATATGTTAATGTTGCTTAGCTCTTCTGGGCCGTTTCTACACTTGTAAAAAGTGACTACCTCAGGGGATAGTATGATATTTAAACAGGATAGTGGATATTACAGAGAACAAAATAAAGTGCCCTGCACACAGATTAGTGTTTTGACGTACGTGTGCTGTAATTCTAATTTTTCAGGAAGGGAGGAAAGGAGGGAAGGAGGGAAGGAGGGAGGGAGGGAGGGGGGGAGGGAGGGAGGGAGGAAGGAAGGATCACAGATCTGAGTTGATCTAGCCTGAGCAAACTGAGACCCTGTCTCAGAACAGAAAGTAAAAGAGGCAGTGTTCTTCTAATTCTAGCATTTGGCATGAGACAGTTGGACCTGGGACCCAGGTCGGCTCACTGGACAGCCAGCCTAGCCAAGTCCCAGGTTTAGTAAGGTTTCCTGCCTTAAAAAAATGGAGAGATGGCTCAGTGGTTAGAGCACTGTCTGCTCTTCCAGAGGTCCTGAATTCAACTCCTAGCAACCACATGGTGGCTCACAACCATCTGTAATCAGATCTGGTGTCCTTTTCTGGCCTGCAGGCATACAAATACTGTATACATAATAAATAAATCTTAGAGGAAAACGATTTTTAAAAAACTGTTAGGAAATGCCTCATATTTAACCACAACAATATTAAATGTAAACTTAAAAAATTAAAATGGAGCAGTAGAAAAAGATACCCAATGCCGACCTCAGGTCTCCACTGTGCACACAGGGATGTGTATCAACACACACACACACACACACACACACACACACACACACACGAGACAGGAATCAGCTCACTGGCAGAGTACCACTGGCTAGTCTGTACAAGGCCCTGGGTTCATGTCTCAGTATCAAAAAAGAAAAAGAAAAAAAAAAAAAAAACACGCTGGACATGATGCACTAAAAGCAGAGGCAGTCTGCAAGTTCAAGGCTAGTTTGGCCCTACACAGTACATTCTAGGCCAGCCAGGGCTACATAGTGAGACCCAGTCTAAAAGATTACTTTACTTAGATCATTCTGGTTAAAAAAAAAAATTATGATTTTGTAGGGAACCCCCCCAAAACAACAACAAAAACCCAGGACCCATTTTCTTATGAGCCTTCTTCTTCCTGTCAGTTACTGACCTAATCGAGAATAGAAAACTCAAGCCCCAGCTCCTTTATGGAACTCCTGTTGCCATGGCTGTCAGCAGCTCTCACTGTTCCCCTTCTTCAGTCACACTTCAGCATCTGATAACAGGTACCATCCTTCTGTAACTATCCCTTCCACACACACTAGTTATGGTTTTCCAGTCTGCCTTTAACAGACTGCTTTGTGTACCATCGTGTCAATCTTCAATCAGGTAGTAAGTCTTTCTCCTTGGAGATTCAAAACTGCTTAGGGTGGGGTTAACGAGATGGCTCAGTGATCCAAAGTGCCCACTGCTCTAGCAGGAAACCCAGGTTCAGTTCCCAGCACCCACATAGCAGTTCACAACTGTCTGCAACTTCAATTCCAGAATCTGAGGCTTCCGAGGGCTTCCTGGATGTGGTGTGTATAAATAAGCAAAAGCATGGGCATATACACATAAAAAGAAACAAAAAAAAAACAAATTTGCATAGGGTGGTTTGAGGTATGGAAAAAGTATATAGAAGTTTTGATTCAACTTTTAATGTTTATATTCAAGGGACAACAAATGTACTAATGACCTAGGTAAGCTAAAAAAGACCAGTATCAGACAAAACTGTTTTTATTAATTTTTAACTGCTTACATGATATTAAAAAAAATACTAACAAGGAATGAGTAGGGGTTAATTTCAGAATAATTTCTAAAAAGAAAAACAAATCGCTTCTTTTAAAGCTGGGGTTTGGGTTTAGAAAGCATTAGTAAAGTACACAGAGCCCTAAAATCTCTAAACAAATAAATAAATAGATAAATAAATATGCTGACTGGAATTACAGTATACTTATTGACAGCAAAGGTCCAAGGGCTACCGAATTCCTGACTGTTTAGTTAATGTGTAACACAGAGATAACAACAGGGGCATAAAATGGCTAAGTAGGAACTCAAAGCACTTCTAAGTATATCTATTTCTTCACTCTAACACTCAATGTTCTAGTAAAAAGTAATTCCTGTTAACTTATACAGAACAAAGTTTCAGTAACAGGTGCATGAAAAGAAAACCCTGTTACAATGATGGCCTACACCTAGACAGTAAGCTATGAATCAAATTAAACAAAAATATCCTAGTCGATGCATTTACAAGGTAAGAATGCCATGAAAATACAGTTTCATTGGATTTTCTCTTACAAATATTTATTTAATTGCAGATGACTTTCTCAGAACACGAGGGACAGAATGAAGCCATCTATGCTTCTCAATGACAACCTATCTTTATAGTTTTGTGCAGCTTTTCAGTAATTATGATTATATTCACATAATCTTAATAGAAACAGGAAATGAGAACTTTGAGGACAGTGACTAGTTCATATCCATCATCTGCAAGTCAGTATGTACAGCAGAGTAGGTAAACTGAGGCCTGGAACAGTCTCCCTGAGCTTAAACCTCAGCCTAAGTCTCAGCTCCATCACCACCTCACCACCTCACTCCATCTTTGTGGTTTTGCCCCTAGCCCACAGAGCTATCCACATCCTATCTTGTGAGAATTAAATGAGGTTTTAGAGTGTTTAGAACACTGTCTAGCTCATGGTAAATAAATACAAAGAACAGCTATTCTCAAGTCACAATTTAAAGGGCCTGGAGAAAAGGCTCATCCATTAAGGATGCTTCTTGTTCTCAGTTCACAATTTAAACCGTCTATCCCAACAAGTTTTCAAGACTGCATCTAAGTGCTAGGCTAGGTGGTACACAGAGGTGTGGAATTCTAGTGCTGGAGACTAGAGGTAGGAGATCAGTAGTTCTGGGCCAGCCTGGGCTACACAGACAAGGTCTCAAAAACAAACAAACAAAGCCAGAGTTAGGGAAGCAGCTCACAGTACATACCTACATATCCAAGGTCCTGTGTATTTCTCCCCTCAATATAAAACAAAAAACAAAGCCTAATGTCTGAGGAACATTATGCTCCAGACAAGAACTCTGATTTTTTACTTTCTCCCCATAATAATTACACTGATTTAAGTGGAAACTTTCTTCCTCCTAGTGATTTTCTTTAGTATTTTTAAATTATATGCATATGTGTTTGTGTCTATGTAGGTTTGTTTACACATGCACGTGAGTGCAGGTCCCCCTGGAGGTGACTTGCAGGTGACTGTGAGCCACTTGATGTGGGTACCAGGAAGGGCAGTCTGTGCTCTTAACTGAGGAGCCACCCCTGCAGGCCTAAACTCATTTTCACATTGCAAGTTTTATGCAGCAACATGAAAGCCAACAGTACTATTCTGTCAAAAACAGCAACCTTGCAAACAGCTGGCCCACACCTCAGAAAGTGCTAAGTCAGAGGTAATGGACTCAGCACCTTTGATTCTTAAATGAAAAGTGAAAATCCCTCCTGGTACTATTTTTTAGTAAAAGTCCATGTAGGCAGAATAAGTCACAAAGGATAGGAATATTTGTTCTCCAAGAGTTACTCAGCATCACCAGCTGTTCCAGGCTCACCTCATTCAACCAAATTAAATCAACCCTGGTGGCCGAATTGCATGTTATCATAGAAATCTACAAGATAAAAATGTTAGATGAATCTACAAAAAAAAAAAAAATAACACTGCAGGTGTGGTAGTAGATGGCTGAGATCCCACGGACTTGGGAAGTTAGAGGAGGGTCAGAATTCAAGGTCATCCTTAGCCATCCAAAGAATTTGAGACTACTCAGAGCCACAGGAGACCTTATCTCAAAAGAATGAAAGAAGGGGGGAAGAAGAGAGGAAAAAACAAAAAGAAATTAATTTAGCTGTATCGCTTGACAAGTCTTTAATGTGGGATTTTCGAACCTCATGAAATTACACAGAAAATTCTACCCAGGCATGTGCATACAGTGTACACGAGTTTTCCTAGGAAGATAGCCCAATGCTTCCAGAGGAGGATAAAAATGCCAAAAGATTGAGAATCACTGCTTTTTACAGTTCACAAATGTCTCTCTACTCTTACATGTTTCAGGAAAAAAAAAACCTGTTTACAAAATTAATCAGTGAAATCCAAAACTCATCCATCTCAAATCTAACATTTCCACACTCCATGTGTAACATGTTCACAACTGGATAGAAATTATCCAGAAGTTTTTATTCCCTGAAAACCTTTCTTGGTTTGCTGTAACTTAAGAGAGAAGCAAGAACATAAGTACTTAAAAGGGCAGTATATTTTAGCCAACTCCTGAATAATCAGGATATAGGGGATACTGTGACACGAGCAAGTGTCTAATTAGACAGATAGATAGATAGATAGATAGATAGATAGATAGATAGATAGATAGATAGATAACAGTTACAATTGTAGACAAAGAACCAAATTTCAGCTTTGTATAGTTTACAATTTAGGGGAACTATCAAAAAAACTCTTGCAACTTCCAAGCAGACCTGCAGAATTAGTTCTACGAGCTCACAGAAAAAGTTTATATGCCCACAAGTCCAGGCAATTATTTTACAACTGCCTCACAATGTAATTTAATACAGTAGTAGCAAAATCATACTTTTGAAGCACAGGCTGTGATTAGCGACTGCTGTCCCTAAATAATACAATCGTAGTTAAATGATAGTAGTCTTTCTTTCAAATCTATGAACCTTTAAATTTCGCAAGAGTTCAAACACAATTTAAAACAAAAATCTAAACCTAACTGAAGTCAAAGAAATAATCCCGAGATCTGTTTCCCTTCCATGCCCTTGGATCGCACCACTTGGTTCACAGGGTCTGAAAGACTCCTAACCTCAAGCTCACTTCCGAGCAGGGCAGCCTGGAAACGTTGGCAGAGGATGACGGGCGCAATCACCCGGCTGCTGCGACTCCAGGCGTTGTCCCGGCGGGGCCGAAACGAGACAGGGGCGCGCCGTCAGCGGAGAACGGGCCTCGGGACTCGGCAGCGGACACCGAATCTAGCGAGGGGCAGGAAACAAACGGCGGACACACCTGGCGAACCTCAGCGACCTGCCCTGCGTTAGCCGGTGAACGTCGGACTCTCCCAGGATCCGCCGCCGCCGCCGCCGCCGCCCCTCCTCCGCGGCCCAGGGCCACCTCCACGCTCCGCTCCAACGTGGCAGCCGCAGCCCCGCCTACGGGCCGCCACTTCCGGGTGCGGCAGCTCGCCACGCCCACTCAGCCGCCTGGCACTTCCGGGAACAGCGGTTCGCTCCTCCCACCCCGCGAGACGGCACTTCCGGGAGCAGCAATTCCGGAAGGCTAGTCCCGCCAGAGCTGAGGATTCAGCCGTGCTGAGTGAGGAGGCACCTAACGTGAAGATGCATCCGCTTGGCGGAGGATCAAGGGGAAGTCGCGCTGGGCGTCTCCGTCAGGGAAGAGCGGTGACCGCGAGGACGCCACGTAGCACTCCGTGAGGCGTTAGCAGCTGCTGGCGACAATACCCACACTGGCAAGGCGGGCGAAAACTGGGCTGCAAGGACCGGTTCAGATTGTGGCTCGGTTAATTATTGGTTCTGCGTTTTCCTTTTGAGAACTTACGTGATATTGTCGTGCACACCCAAAGGCTATTATACTCTGTAGTCTTAGCTGCGTGCGTGAGGTATATCGAATAAAGTTGGTATCTTAATATTTAACTATCCATGGTATTCAGACCTATTAGCACTCGCCCTGGACTACTGGAACAAAGCATCCTAATTTTGTGTGCGTGTGTGAGTGTGTGAGGCTCTCAGATTGGAGAATTTGAGATTTTCGAGTTAGGGAAATAAACCAGTAACTGGAAATGTAGAAGCTGGTCGGTAGAGCAAAGAAATGAAATGGGTGCTGAGTTGGGCATCACAGCCTGTGCATATGATGCCACACTCAAGAAATAGAGACAGGAAGATCAGTTCAAGGCTAGTCTAAGTTCAGGTCACCCTAGGCTGCAAGAGAGCCTTTCTCGAAAAGGAAAACAAAATATAACACCAAGAAAGGCTGAAGAGATGGCTTAACAGTTAAGAGCACTCGCTGCTTTTGGAGAAGACTTGGGTTTATTTCCCTGTGTACAACCATTTGTGGCTCCTGTTTTAAAGGACCCTACACCATCTTCTGACCTCCAACGACAACTGCATGCAAGTAGAGCACATACATAAATACAGGCACTCAATACATAAAAACGAAATAAAAGAAATTAGGTGCTGAAATTCCCTATCCCAACTTAAGGTAGCTCTAGTATATTTCTGTAATTTTTAACCAGATGAGGCTGGTTTGGGACCCTTTGGTCCCAGACACTTAAAATAAAAGGATATTACTATCTTCCTTACAGCTTCCAACCTTAAGGATGTGTTGCCTCGTACTTTTTATTTAGGGTGGAATTATCTCATCAGTGAAATCAAGCCAGATGAAAAATCACTTGTCATAAACTATTAGCACCTGGACAGAACTGAGGTCTCCTAACATTACATTTGCTGACCACACCCAGCTCTCCTGTAACTCCTTAACTTATAGATTCCTAAATGAAAGTAATGCTTCTTTATTGAACACAAACTATAAGCAAGCTGGAATTTGAGGCAGACAGCAGCAGGAAGATTATGGGAGGCCAGCCTGAACTACATGGTGACACCTTTCCATGCTGAGGGTATACTTTATAGTAAGAGGTTTTGCATAGCATTCACAAGGCTGTTTTATCCCTAACAAGCCAGTAGTCCAAAGTACTGGAAAGTGGAAATGGTCTTATTCACCCTCTTAGTGTCCTCCGTATATATTTCACTTCAAAAATCAAGTTTACAGAGCTGAGAAAATGGTAGCCCACCGCAGTATGAGGACAGGACCCACGTAACAGCTTAGGGCAGCAGCCAGCATCTATCTATCACTGCAGCAGTAGAGACAGTGTTACCAAACACAACAAAAATAAGGGGCTTCAGAGTGCACTAAAGGGCAGTCCCAGCCCTCAACATGGGTGGCATAATCAGCCTGGGAGCCCTGGGTGGAACGAAAAGAGGATACAGAAAGCATATACTAGGTAACTGCATTACCGCTAATACATATCTGCAACCTTCATTTTTTTATTGAGACAGGCTTTTACTAAGTTATCCGAGCTGTCCATGAACTTGATAACCTGTCTAAGGTTCCTGAATGGCTGGGATTCAGTCCTGTACCATTAGGTTGACTGTGGAGGACTGGTGTCAAAGTGATAGTTGCACAGTATCAGAGCTTGCAAAGAACCACCTGCACCTGTGAAGGAAAAACTAGTACCATTCACAAAAGTCTTTTAGCTCAATCAAGCCTTGTTCAATAAAAATTAAACTTTTCAAAAGTTCATTTCCAAACTGATTTACTGACTGAAGCCAGAATGGAGGTAACTAAATACATGTGCTGTGGATGGAGTCAGTAAAATCCACCATTCAGAGAGAAGACTGCAGGGGAGAGAAGACTGCAGGGCTGCCTGCTGCACAGCTCAATTCCTGTGATGCAGAGGGCAAGTCTGACTGGTTAGTGTTCTCTGTGGCAATGCTGGCACGCATCCTGCAGCCTCTGAAAGGCCTGTTCTCCCAGGCCGATCGTGGCTGTTGAGATCTCTTCTGGAGCTTCAGGCAGCATGAAATCTTTTTAAATTTATTTTAATTATGTGGGAGTGGGAGGTGGACATTGAATCTAGGCACTTGCAGAGGCCAGGTGTCAGTTCGTCCTTTCTTCCTCAGAGCATTAGGGCTCTACCTGAAATCTTAAAGCTGTCCTTACCTCCTGTTGATCTGTCAGTGAGCAGTCATGACTGGCTTTATTCAACTGGTAAGTCGGGCACAGGGCTCCAATTATGTAAGCTAGTTGCACTTAGACTTCGAGTCCTACTTGGTGACCAGAAAGGAGAGGACAGCCTTAGGAGCCTTTTGCTTCAGTCATATAAACATAACCTCATCAACTGGTTATTTTGTTTCACCGGGTTTTAGAAAATGATGAGTACACGATCTAGAAAAAGAGGGAAAGGAGCAAGCTTGGAGGCACACACCTATGCAGTACCAGTCCATGGGAGGCAGAGACACACCCATGCCAGTACCAGTCCGTGGGAGGCAGAGACACAAAGACAAGTTGGAGGTCAGCCTCCACCTGGGCTGAGATACTCTCAACATAGCAGCCCACAGTGACCTGAGGAACACAAGCAAGTAGCCTATTACTGTAAATATTTCACCTCATTGAAGACTCCTGATAAGGGCCAACACCTAAAGGTCAAGAACCATGGGTTCCAGTTACTGATCAGATGTCATCAAGTCCTCAGATGAAATTGGTCTCAGTGATGCAGGCCAGAAGACAGACATTGGGGAGAAAAGGGATAGGTTTGGAGACTGAGGAGATACAGCCTGTTGGGTAAGCAGAGATTCTACTCCTCAGAGGCTGCCAACTCCAGAGAGCCTAAGAAAGTGATGAGCTGCCTGACAAAGGGAACGCAGGTCCCTACCAGACAGCACAAGGCAGTTTGACCCTCAGACATACTACAGACCCAACTAGCAGGAATAATAATTCTCCTACAAAGACCAGGGGTACTGGTCCCCAACTATTAAGAGTGATGGTAACAACATCCCTGCTGGGGACCTTTGGGTATCATCAGAAAGTTGCCCTGACCACTTGATTGAAGTAGAGTCCTAACTCAGAGAAGCAGGAGTCTTAGCCCTCGCCACTCCCTGGGATGGGCAACAGATGCTATGGTTTGGAGCAGCAAGCAATAAAGAGCTTGCCAAGCCAGAGTAGGAGAAACGATGGTTATTATTACACTACAAAGGAGCAGCGGCTAAGTCGGCGGTAAGACTGCCCTGGGAGAGGACAAACTGGCTGTCTGTATTAGGCAGCTATGTCATTTAATGTGGCTCCTGCAATGGAAAGAAGGCCCTGAAGTAGCCCTCCACAGAAAGCAACTCGGACAGGAAGTCCCAACATTCCAACTCAGCACTCACTCTTGCTTTTTTCTCCACAACATAGACTTCCAATTCATATTCACATGAAGCTGGGTGAGAGCCGCTCAGGAGTTACAAGAGCTTGTTGGTCATCCAGAGCAGTTCAGTTTCCAACACCCAATTCACACAGCTCACACCGCCTGGAAGTCCAGCTGCACTGAGGGCACTGCACACAGATAGCATGACCACTACAAATAAATCTTTACGAAAGGGAAAGATTTACAGACTTTAATTCTTTTGACAATGTTAATCCCTTTCTCATTTCAAAACAGGATAAAGTTTTGAACAAAACTGTCACAAAGCAACCAATTTATTCCATAATCCTTTGCATCATGTTTACATTTCAATAAAACAGCGACATTGTAATGTTTCAGTTTTACTATTTTGATTTTTTTAAATTACATTTATTTACTTATTGTGTATATGTGGTCAGCAGACAACTTTCAGGAGTCAGGTCTCTTCTCCCACACTGTGGGTCCCGTGACTGAGGTCACCAGGCCTGTGTGAAGAACAGGTTTATTAGAGCAGGAAGGGTACAGGCCCTAGAGAGGGACTGAAGACATGTTACAGGGCATGGGTGAGAAATCTCCAAGAGCTTGGGCTCTGGTCTACGGGTCATTCTGTTGTTTTTGTTTTTCCAACATTTATAGGCTGTTTGGCATAGAACTCTTTACTCTTCCATCATTGGCAGAAATAAAGGTTGTTCTGAACCAACAGTTCAATCCATTTTATAGGTTTGCTTCCCAACTGATTGTAGTTTTCTCACCACAGTTCCCCCCCAAGTCATCATTTCCTTAAGTATTCACTAATTTTAGAGAAATATCTGTAGTTTTAGATCTTCTAGGTGAGTGCCTTAAGGAGAGGGTTGTTAACGGAAGGAGCTAGCTACTGAACTGCTGACCAGCTAGCTCCCATCTCCCTTTTACAATTTGTTCCTTTAACTGCTGGGCTGTACTTTTCTAACGTCAAAGTGACATTCCTCACTTTGACCCCCTACCAGACTCACATCTTGTTAAACACCACCACTTCATTTGGTCCTGCATGGCCATTAGCAAACTAATGCTAAGAGGCCAAGGAAGCCAGGCAGTGGTGGCGCACGCATTTAATCCCAGCACTTGGGAGGCAGAGTCAGGTGGATTTCTGAGTTCGAGGCCAGCCTAGTCTACAGAATGAGTTCCAGGACAGCCAGGGCTACACAGAGAAACCGTCTCAAAAAACCAGAAAAGAAAAAAAAGAGACCACGGAAAAAGTACCCCTGTATACCCATACCCACCCCAGCACTGACTGCTAATCTAACTAACAGTGTGGCCTGTCTACAGTAATATTTACCCAGGCAAGTTAGGCCAGGGTACACATACATGTCCAGTTGTCTGGTGGGTGTACATTTTCTTCTACATGTAAAGAAAATGCCCAGGCATGGATGATACCAGGGAGGACAGACAGTTACTGTAGCCAAAGGTTTGGTTACACCGGTCCCCAGTCATATTTACTACTGGTTGTATTCCCTCAAAGTTATTTCTACACATCAGGACTCTGGGGGAGAAAAAAAAAAAAAATCAAGCCAGCAATCATGGAAATCCCAGGTACATGAAAGACCAAGGCAGAATTAGAGCTGAAGGCCAGCCTGGTAATGTCGAAGTCCCTGACTCTACACAAAGAACAACTTAGGAAGTGACAAATCCCTTACCTTATAGAGATCTTCACATTACTCAATACACCTGTAAATGTTGCTCTTACAAAAACCATCGTTTGATTTCATTCCTACAAGAAAAACAGACAAATCAGTGCAAAACTACACCATATATTTAAACCCTGACTTTGTGAACAGCAGTGGAGAAAGCTAATCACAGGCATCTGCACTTGCCGTATTCAAGCTTGACTTAGAAAAGGTTTGTTCTTTTCTCCTGGACCTTTAAAATGTAAATTCAGTTTTACAACTAAGTATCAATTCTCTAATGTAAGACATATCAAAAGAAATTCACAAAGCCTATTCCAGTATATTATTCAAGTCCCTGCTTTGTTCAGACTATCTCATGCCACCTTAGTCTATCTTCTCATGGCCAAGCAGGCCGCGTGTGGAAATGTCTACTTTATCATATAATGAACTGCTTACTCTGGGCCTTAAGTGCCCTTACTGCCCTTAAGAGTTATTTATTTTATGGTATGTGTAAGTGTTTTGCCTGTGTTAATGCATGTACCAAAGAAGAGGGCTTCATATGCCCTGGGATTGTAGTCACAGGGGGTTGTGAGCAGCCATGTCAGTGCTGGGAAGTTCTGAAGAACAGCCAGTGCTTGGAACCACTGACCCACCTCTCCAGAGGCTTTATACAGATACAGTATTTTTTAGAGGTTTCCAACTAAGATCTTCCTAGCAGGTGTAGCCAACCTGCAACCCAGATGCGGCACCATGCACCTAAGAATGGCTATGACTGCAATCCAACAGTAGCAATCGTACTTAGAACGGAAAACCCTCACGTGTGGTTTTGGTTTTGGTAGCCCAATTGTGTTGCTCTCATGCATCAACTTTGAAGGTGACCATGTTGTGCCTCAACTTCAAAGTCGGTCTTACCTGTGAGTAAAGTGGGTTCCACAGCCAGGGAAGAGTAATGAAAGGCCTCCAGACACCAGTCTTGGGTCATCAGCCTGACTAAGCCCAAGCAGCTGTTCTTATAGATCACTGGAGGTGGACAGGGCACACCTTCTGGTGGCAGAGCCATAGAAGCTATGGCTTCCCACCAGCTTGCCCACCTCTTGCTAGGATCAGAACCCAGTTCTGGAAGATTCCCTGCTTCTCTACCATATCAGCATTCGTGAACTGAACTACCAGCCTCCAGGCCTCTCATTGTTGGGCTAGCTGAACCACAGCCCGTGAGGGCCCTTAATAAATCCGCCTTTGATATACACGTGTCTGTATGTGTGTATCCATTTATCCTCTCAGTCCCATGCCTGTAAAGGACCCAAACTGGTAGAGTACTCTAAGAATATCAACACCCTGACTTCCTGATAGTCAATCCTGCTCATGAGAAGCAACGCCCACAAAGGGACAAAGAAGCTCCACAGAGGGGACAAGACTTTGTAAAGATATGCTCATCACACTCTATATAAATTGAGCTTTGGTAAACAGATTCCAGTCATGTTAACTATTTGTACAATTGGACCACAGTCCCACTCCAAAAACTATCAACATGGGGAAACCTAATTTTATTATAGTCTAGTTCCACCAGCTTTTCCAATTACCTCCATAATTAAGAAGAAATGCTCCACGAAAACAAGGAAAACATTCTCACTACAAAAACTGTAAATGCCCTAGGAACTTTCCAAATACATGAATTATATGCAAACATAGGCAAGAAAAAAAAACAAGTCCCTGAAGAAAGATGTGTGAACTGGAGGCCAGCCTGGTCTACATAGTGAGCTCCAAGACAGCAGGACTCTGTAGAGACTATGTTGAAAAGCAAAAGCAGGGGTTGGGAGAACAACACACCACTAGGCTGGAGAGCTGGCCCAGCAGTTATGACAACTAGCTGCTGAGCAGCAACACGGCTCACAACCCTCTTTAGTTCCAGAGGATCTGACACCTTCTTCTGGATTCAGGTACCAGGCATATGTATCGTCATTAACATCCATACACAGAAAGAATGTTTTTAAAAGGGAACCACTTACTTGAACATGAATACTCTTACATATTCAATTCCTGGATTCAAATACTAAATCCAAACGCTAAGTATAAATCCAAATCATAAATATGAAATAAATGGACACTTAATGGAAGCTAGCTGATAGTCAACCTCCAATATACTTGCTATGATGAAGCAAAGAACAGAATCTTTAAAATGGAAACCTAATGAATGAGTTACAGTAGGACACACCATTAAAGGTGCTGACAGAACTACCCAGGAATCTGACAACAGTCAGATGCTCAAGAGGCACAGGTTAACCCTCCAGTGAAGCTGACTGTTCTGTCCATAGGGCCACTGTGAGAAACAGTGCAGACAAAAAAGGTGCAAACTGCAGCCTGGCGCACGCGCGCGCACACACACACACACACACACGCACGCACACACACAGAGCTGTCTCTGAAACTGAGAGGGATCTGCTGTACAGACTGCTTGATAGTTGAAAGGACTGGGGTCCAATTCATAGCAGACATGGCAGCTTCAGAACTATCTCCAACTCCATCCAGCTGCAGGGGATCTGATGCCCTCTCACCGCCCTCCCAGACACCATGTGCACATGGTGTAGACATAGACGTTGGCAAACACCCACACACATTAAAGTAGATAAAGGACCTGTCATTAAGACAGACAGCCTGAGTTGATATCTAAGGTGGTAAAGAACTACCACGTCACCCTCTAACCTTCACACAAGTATGTACACAGTAACTGCAATAAACTTTGCCATTCCCAAAACAGGTAATAAGATTTGACCAAAGCCTTTAGAATTTCAGTCTTGCAGACTCTTTCCAGACTATATCACTCAGAATATTTAATATACACAAAACAGATGACTATACCTTTCCTTGTATTTCATAATCATCTTTCAAAGCCATGCATCTCTTCCAGACATCACCAAGAATACAATTCCTGAAAAAAAAAAGAGATTTTATTTTAAATCACACGCCAGGGGCCGACACTTACTGTTACAGCATCACCTTTAGTAAAGCTTACATATCCTCATTAGTTCCTCAATAATCACAACAGCTCATTATGTGAACAGCAGTGAAGAGTTTAATCATTGGATATGCAGCCACTAGAGGAAACAGGAAAGAGCACAGATCACTCCATGTCTACGCAAGTTCTCTACTGTCTCTTCCAAGTTGTTTTATTTTAGGGTCTATGACATTTAAGTAAATGTGTTTTGCACAGTTCCCCATTAGACAGTATTACAAATTACCAGACGAGACCAGAACATTCAGAGCGGTACACCCATAGACTTGTCAGACTCTCAGGACCCCTGTATCTGTCCTAGGAGATGCACAGCAGCAGCACCCAGTTAAACAGCATCTCACTTGTGATGCCCCGCAGGCTTTCTGCTCAGGAGCAACACCCCCTTTCATGAGTATCTTAGCAGCTTAGGTTTCTGAAACCATTTAGCCCATGGTGGTTGGTCTGAGATTGGCCATTCACAGGCTCATATATTTGCATGCTTTGTCCCCAGGTGAGCTGTCAGGGAAGGATTAGGTGTGGCCTTGTTGGAGCCCAGAAAGTCCATGCAGCGAAAACCCATGCTTGCTCTCTGCTGGCAGAGCAGAAGGTAAAGCTCTCAGCAACTGCACCAGTACCACGCCTTCCTGTCTGGCTGCCCCAGCATAACGGACTAACTACAACTGTAAGCCAGCCCCAACTAAATGGCTCATGGTGTTATCGTCACAGCAACAGAATGTAAGACAGCCTAGGATTCCCACTTCTCAGTAGTGTCACAGCAGACAGCAGTTCCTCGTGTTCTTTAATATGACAATGCAGGAAGACAAATGTATTCTTTCAGTACTAACCACAAAATTTTCTCCAATCATAACCTGTATATTTTTTAAAATTTTATTTTTATGTATAGCTGTTTTATCTGTTTATGCCTGCATAGTACCTTCATGCCTGATATGAGTATCAGGGCTAAGCGTTGGATCCCTCCTGGAACTGGACTGTAAACTGCTATATGGGTGTGGAGAAACAAACCCAAGTCATCCATCCAGCAAGTGCTCTTAAGCACTGAGCCATCTCTCCAATTGATGTTTAATAATGTAGCCCAGGTTAGCCTTGAACTCTGTATGTGTTCTAAAGTCTTCCCTAACCTCACCCCCAACTCCCAGTAAATCCTTGTACAAATACTTAAGGTTTTTTGTTATTAAGTTTTTTCAACTTAATCCATCTTTCAACTTGTCTATCTTGTAGGGGACAGTGTTCCCTGACTCTTATGTGGAGTTAGCCTGTGTGGTGTCGTCTCTATCCAGAGCCATCTCACTCGGCCTTTTTTTTTTTTAGCATGGTTTTTGTTTGTTCACTGTGCTGCAAACTGAACCCAAAATTTTGTGCAATGCTAGATAGCCAAGACTTTCCAGTAACACACCTAGCAGGCAGGCATGTGCCGGAAAAAGATCTTCTAAGGCTGTTTGTGAGTTAGGGTCTCAAGTAACTCTGGCTGGCCTGGAACTGGAATTGACCTGTCTGTCTCTCAAGTTGCTTACTGTAGGTTTCTTTCTTACAAATGGGGGGGGGGGGGGGGGTGGGGGGGGGCATACTACAAGCTACCACTTTGCACCTGTAAACATGTGGCAAAGAAATGGAACTTGTACCTTCTATTGGTAGGAAACAGGGACAGGAACTTGAGAAGCCATTCTATTTACATAATTCAGAGAACAGAAATGTAACAATACTTGACAACTAACACTCAACGTATCACTATTAGTAACACTCAAAAAACAAAGAGCCACAATGGAAATGCAGACAATTCATGTCTGACAGACAAGGTGACACTTACTTGGGAATAAACAGGGCGAACCTTTTTTTGGTTTGTCAAGATCTGGTTTTTTTTTTTTTTTTTTTGGCTTTTTCGAGATAGGGTTTCTCTCTTGAACTCAGAAATCCGCCTGCCTCTGCCTCCCAAGTGTTGGGATTAAAGGCATGTGCCACCACCGACCAGCAAGACCTGGTTTCTTTGTGGAGCACGGACTGACTGTCCAGGAATTCCCTCTGTAGACCAGCAGGCTGGCATTAGAAACCAAGTGATCTGCCTCTTTAATCCGCCGCCTCTGCTGGGATTAAAGGCAAATGCTGCCACCACTGCCTGGCAAAAAGAGTGATCTTTTACCACTATTCTGTAGGAAAGAAGCAGCCACAAAAAACCCATGTGCTAGTTTACTATCCCATCCATCTCAAACATACAGAACAAGTAATCTACACAGGTACAAGGTTGCTTCTAGGGACTGGAGGATAAAGGGACAGTTAATATGGAGTTTCTTGGGCAAGAGATACAGCACAGTCGGTAGTGCCCTAGCCTAGCGCTCACAAAGCCCTAGGGTTCAATCTCCAGCACATTAACTAAGCTTGGTAGGAGCACAGCACTGGGGAGGCGGCAAGATGATAACAGAACAGTCACGCTAAGCTACAGAGCAAGTCTGAGCTAGCCCGGGTTACATGAGCCCTGTCTAAAACCCAAAAAGAATGATGTCCTTACCGGGTGAGGTAAGACCTCTAAAACCAGCCTGAACCTTTACTCCCGACTTTACAGGAGCCTCACTCAGAAAGATCACCCCCAGTCTAAAAACGACTCTAGGAAACAAGCCTGCCTCAGAAAGGTAAGTGTGACCATTCTAAAAACAAGCACAGGATGGTGATGCAGTGGCTGAAATCATGCACAGGTCCTGGGCTTCAGTCCCAGCACTGTAAGATAAAACACATGTGTGCTGAGAGCTGCTTAGATGAGAATGTACTAAACTTCACTTAATTGTGTTGCTTAAGTCAGAATATACTAAACCTCACTTAACTGAACACTGTTCATTGTGAAAAAACTCACTTAAGAAAAGAGTTAAAGCGCCAGGCAGTGGTGGCACACCCCTTTAATCCCAGCACTTGGGAGGCAGAGGCAGGTGGATTTCTGAGTTCGAGGCTAGCCTGGTCTACAGAGTGAGTTCCAGGACAGCCAGGGCTACACAGAGAAGCCCTGTCTCGAAAAAAAAAAAAAAAAAAAAAAAAAAAGAAAAAAAAAAGAAAAAAAGAAAAGGGTTAAAGGGCTGGAGAGATGGCTCGGCGGTTAAGAACATCATCTGCTTTTCCAGAGGTCCTGAGTTCAATTCCCAGCAACCACGTAGTGGCTCACAACCCTCTGCAATGGGGTCTAATGCCCTCTTCTGGTGTGTCTGAAGAGAACAATGGTGAACTTATATACATAAAAGAAATAATTTTTTTTAAAAATTAAAAACAAAACAAAGGTGTTAAAAACATAAAGCCTTGTATTCTTGTCAAGCAAACACTTGCACCATGTCTTCCCCAGCACCCGATTTCCCCAAAGTTCACGGACTGTGTTTAAAAAAATAAGTAAATGAACGGGAAAAGAAACCGCAAAAGCTGTTGATTTCATCCAGATAAGATAAAAGCATATATGGAAAGACATGGGTAATATATGATATAACTGACCAATCCTGAGTAAAATAGGAGAGAAAAAAAACATGTTGGACTCGAATTCCGTTATTATTTGAAGGATACAAAGAAATGAAATGCTTCAATCGGTGACTTCCAATAAAAATCTCAATCCTGAAAGCTATCCATCCACGATGGCTCATTCCCAACCTCGAACAAAGATCTGCCTGGCCTCTCAGTTTCCGTACCTGTGCAGCTCCCACCGCACTGGAGGGACAGCAAGGGCCTCAGAGACCTTACCTTCTTTCCTTAACCACCTAACATCTTCAGAAAAAGGGTTCTCTTAAGACTCCAGAGCATCCTCACGCAAGCAGCTGTGGTATCACGTCCATAACGCCAGGTAACACCAAGAGCTCCTGCGTCACCTGGGCATCAGTGACCTACAAAAGAAGGGACGAGATGAGGGCTGAGATCACTCTTTTGTCCCACTTGGTACACAACATTCAGCGGACATCGCGACCTATCCCTACCCGTCTCCTGGCGCCATTCTATTAGTCCTCCCGGGCGCGCGCCTGCATCGCCAAGGCCAGGCAGACGTCAACTCGGTCCCCACCTCGCTGCTCCCCATTACCATCCTTGCCCAAAGGGCGATGGCGCCGGATTGCAAGCGAGCAGGTGCAGACCTGAGAAAAAACAAAGCTCTAACAAAAGAAGAAACGGATGCCACGAGAGAACACGCCCACGGAGGTCTTAAAGGCGCTGGGCCTCTCCGATTGGCTGCTGCGACACAGCGTGGCCTACGATTGGCTAGGCAGTCGCTATCGGAAAACCGGTAGGAGTCCCGAGCGTCCAAAGCCCGCCCTTCCGGTCAGTCCTCAGGCGGAACTGAGTTTACAGCGACTCAAGCTCTCACGAGAGCTCAGGAGAGGGAGCCCCACGGGGCAGGATAGCCGGAAGTTACTGTACTGGGGACCGCCTACCCTGGGAGTATCAGTGGAGTGTCGCGTCCTGTCCTCCGGTGGCGTCGGCGAGCTGATGCACTGCTGCGGGACTGCAAAAGTGGGGCGACAGCACAACGCCCAGCATCGCCAGACGTGAGCAACCGGACCCGGCTGGTGCTCAGCGTTTGCCTTCCGGCTTGACTGACATTAATCAAAAAGCTTTGGTTTTGCCGTTTATTAGGCGTCCGACTTGATGGTGAACGCCAGTAATCTCAGCCTTTCAGAGGTGTGGTAAGAAATTCCAGAGTTGGTGACCTTGCCACCCGTTTGTGAAAGTTAGTCATACCATGTTGAAGGCATAATGAGGAACAACGTAGGCAAAATAAATCCCTACTAACACTAGCTTCCAAGGAGAATCTTTTTGGTTTGTTTGTGGGATGCTGTCTTCCTATTTATGTCAGCCCGACCTGACAATACACATGTAGCCCAAGCTGGCCTCAAACTTGCGATCTTCCTACATCAGCCTTCGCGGACCCAGCCCTGCACTATGTGTGAAACGTGGTCGCATTTTCTTACAGTGTCAGGATTTGTTGAATAACAGTAAATTCACATGCAATGCGAGTTCCGTTGGGTGTCGTTTAGCAATTAGGTAATTGGTAGCTTGTCACTGGCCATAACGGATGCTTTTGTCAGCCTTCGTGTGTGTGTGTGTGTGTGTGTGTGTGTGTGCCTATTTATGTGTAGGTGTGAGCACAGGGCAGGTCCCTGTGGACACCAGAGGTCAACCTCAGCTGTAACTTTCCAAGAGCCAGCTACCTTTTTTTTTTTTTGAGACAGTCTCTCACGGTTAATCTGGGACTGGCCAATTAGGCTAAACTGGCTAGCCTTAGAGCCCTCAAGTTCCAGCTTTCTCTGCCTCCCCTACACTGGGATTACAAACACCACCATGGCTGAATTTTTAATGTGCTCAGCGCATTGTCTCCAAGCTTAAACCGTCCAGGATTCCCTCCCCACATTAGGTGGGTCCTTTCCAGTCACTGTAATTAGAATGAACCCCCACAGGCATACTCAGAGGCCCATCTCCTACTTGATTCTAGAATTTGCCAACTTACACTACCAACCATCCTAAGTGCTAACCGTTAGCTTTTCCCAAACATTTCCTTCAATCAGTTTTCATTCCCCACCCCACCCCAGGAAAATCTCAAGCCTTTCCATACTGGTCGGGAGATGTGTGTTAGACCAGATCTGTGTGCTGCTTTTGATGAGCAGTGTTCTTGGCTCTTCCTAAAGATAGCACAAGATAAACTGGCTCTAGACCTCTAACATTTCATCTCCAATCTTGGAAATTCAGTCAGCCTTGCAGAATCTCTAACACAGGTGAGCCTTTTTCCCCCTGGGCACTTGAGTTTTGTTTTGTTTTGTTTTTGTGTGTTGCTGTTTTGTTGAGAAACGGTCTCGCATCCCAAGATGTCCTTAAACGCCCAATGTAGCTGAGGATAATCTAGAACTCCGCCCACATGCCTCGGCCTCCTGACTGCTGGGACTGTAGCCTGTACTATTATACCGAGCTGATCTGTGCCACTCTAACTGCCCTGAATTTCTTTTCAAACAGAATATATTTCCTTTATATGGGACAAACTGTCTATTTCTTTGCTTTTGTGTAAAAATCAACACCAATTTCTACTCATCAAGATCCAAACTAACCCAGGAGAGTTACATAAATTATTTTATTATATCCTCAACCCAACTTTTTGACCCTTAGCTCTCCGTCTGACCTCACCTGAGCTCTTCATTTCTTGTGACTCTCAATGTAATAATTCAAATGAGGCACACAAGAGTGCACTGTTGAAGATAAATGGGCTTCAGTATTGTAAAATGAAGTCACCCAAAGGAGAGAGAAACAATGGCCAAAGAGACTATTGGCATAAAAGCCTGCTCCCAAGGGGTGAGAATAGACACAGGCCAAGGAGATTCATGGTGCCAGCCTACATTTTTAGGAAGAGTTTAAAACACAAATGTCTCTAGAACAAACTGTTTGTTTTGTTTTGTTGTTTTGTGTGTGTATGTTTTGTTTTGTTTTGTTTTTGTCCTTCTCAGGTGATTGATAGGCCCACTCGGAGTAGCTTTGAGAAGGGGGTTGGTGGGGAGTAATGACACCAGGCATAGTTGTGCACACCTTTAATCCCAGCACTCAGGAGACAAAGGCAGGTGGAGGTCTGTTATGTTCAAAGCCAGCCTGATCTATCTACACACTTTCAGGACAGCTAGGGCTGTGTAGATAGATCCTGTGTGCTGGCTAGTTTTATGTCAGCTTGACACAAGATAGCCATCATAAGAAAGGGTGGCTCAACTCAGAAAATGCCTCCAGAAGATCTGGCTGTAGGAAGCCTGTAAGGCATTTTCTTAATTAGTGAACGACGTGAGAAGGTCCAGCCTATTGTGGATGGGGATATCTTTGGGCTGGTAGTGCTTGGTTCTGTAAAACAAACAAACACCAGTCTGAACAAGCCATAGGGACCAAGCCAGTAAGCAGCATCCTTCCATGGCCTCTGCATCAGCAACTGCTGAGTTCCTGCCCTGACTTCCCTCAGCGATAGACTTTGATGTGAATGTATAATCCAAATAAATGCTTTCCTCCTCAACTTGCTTTTGGCCATGGTGTTTCATCATAGTAATGATAACCCTAACACAACCAGTCTCAGAAAAAAAAAATTAAAAGGACAGGACAGTGGTTATCTGTGTTCTTTACCACAAAACCTCCGGTAGATACAGGTCTTAGGACCGTCTGAGCAGTTTGGAACTACCTCTCCATGAAGGCCACAGAAATCCCATGCCTTTGACTGTTCATTAGAGTCCTGCAATTTCAAGCCATGATTTTGCATTTTGCTAATTGGGAGGGAGGGGTCCATTCTCAGGAATTTTGACCAACTACCAAACATGTATTTATCTTTTATAAGTGAAGATATAAACGGTACAGAGCTCAAATGACACATAAGGAAATAAGGAATCAGCATGGGAAACAGCTCAGCTACAGGAGAAAGCCTGGAGTTCAGATCCCCAGAACTTACCCAAAAAGCTGGGTAGATAGCACCCACCTCAGTCTCAGCACGGAGGAGGACAGGGGAGCCCAGGACAAGTTGGCTAACCAGATGAGCTAACTCTGTATGAACTCTTAGTGAACTCTGGGTTCACTGAGACTGCAAAAAGTATAGATCAGTCAAGGGGTCTCTACACAGGCACAGTCACACATGCATGTGCCCTCACCCACACATGTACACAGTCACACATGCATGTGCCCTCACCCACACGTGTACAGTTACACATGCATGTGCCCTCACCCACACATGTACAGTCACACATGCATGTGCCCTCACCCACACATGTACAGTCACACATGCATGTGCCCTCACCCACACATGTACAAATAGACATACATGCATGCTTACCACACGTGTACACATTCCTGATAATCTTGAGTTTACTTGAAAAAACTGCCTCTCGGATGTTATCCTCTGACTTAGCACACATGAACCATAGAACACACACATGCATACTAAATAGATGTCATTTTTAAAAAACTATTCCAGAAGCTTTGGCATATTTACCTCATATAGACTGAAATGCGTATCTTGTGATGATGAAACGTGAGCCATCAATCACGTTGTCAAGCCCTAATGGATGTAGATACCAGTTTCTTACATGTCAGAGTTAAGACTAGTTTGCCATCCCTTAAACCATCATTCAGAGAAGAGCACAGTAGCACACAACTGTAAGCCCAGCACTCGGAAGGTGGAGACAGGAGTTCAAAGGCACAGTAAGTTTGAGACCAGTGTGGACTTCATGAAACTCTGTGTCTGAAAAAAAAAATTATTCAGAAAGAATTAAAAACTTTGGCCAAGAAAGCACTAGTTATCCTTCTTGGAGTACAGGAGTTCAAGTTTGGTAATGCCACCTGACTTCCCAAAGGACAATGCGTGTATTAACAGTAGACCATAGTATGTTAACATTTTTTGTGAGTGTTCACTCAACTGAACTTTTAAAAGTTCACTGTCCTTTTAAGTACTTAAGAATATTAATTACACATTAGAATGAAGTCTATGACAAAATAGCAAAAGCATTTATGAGAATTCCAAAATGTACTGGTGATCTGAACAGATACCTAAGGGGTTCTTATTTGTGGTGTTTTCAATAATATGAAATCTAATTCTCTTCAGTGTAGGCCCATTGCTACAACCTTTAGTTCTGTATTATGGACTATGCTTGAGTGATCACATTAGTATTGTGTTTGAGAGACACATAGTAGTCTCACACAATACAGACACATCATACACATATAGTCACAGACACATCATACACATAATCTCATGTATCACACAGATATACAAATACATCATACACATAAAGCCACACAGATATCATACACAGTCTCACACACATCATAATCATACATACACATCACACACACATGCACACATTGGTGAAATGCCTATAAAGCCTAGAGTATAATTTTGCTTTAATGTGAAAACTTGAGCTTTTATGGTCTGAAAATTAGATTCAAATACCATAAAATCCTCTTGTTCTGGGGTTCCCTGAACTAGAACTAGTGACAAAGGCAAACCACATGCCAGGAACCCCGCCCTGTGTTGCAGAGGAGCCAGGAAGTGCCGAACACAGGTAATTCTATGAGCTCCACAGTCCAGCCTTGGGCTTTCAAACACTGCTTCTGAGAAACAGAATCAGGAGGATACTTACTTGACACCTCCTAGGAAAG